TGTTGTGTGTTCACTATGGCTGAGGCCGGGAGGGCTGGTGTGGAATGTTGTTTTGTGCTCACTATGGCTGAGGCGGGAGGGGTGGTGTGGAATGTTGTGTGTTCACTATGGCTGAGGCCGGGAGGGCTGGTGTGGAATGTTGTTTTGTGCTCACTATGGCTGAGGCGGGAGGGGTGGTGTGGAATGTTGTGTGTTCACTATGGCTGAGGCCGGGAGGGCTGGTGTGGAATGTTGTTTTGTGCTCACTATGGCTGAGGCGGGAGGGGTGGTGTGGAATGTTGTGTGTTCACTATGGCTGAGGCCGGGAGGGCTGGTGTGGAATGTTGTTTTGTGCTCACTATGGCTGAGGCGGGAGGGGTGGTGTGGAATGTTGTGTGTTCACTATGGCTGAGGCCGGGAGGGCTGGTGTGGAATGTTGTTTTGTGCTCACTATGGCTGAGGCGGGAGGGGTGGTGTGGAATGTTGTGTGTTCACTATGGCTGAGGCCGGGAGGGCTGGTGTGGAATGTTGTTTTGTGCTCACTATGGCTGAGGCGGGAGGGGTGGTGTGGAATGTTGTGTGTTCACTATGGCTGAGGCCGGGAGGGCTGGTGTGGAATGTTGTTTTGTGCTCACTATGGCTGAGGCGGGAGGGGTGGTGTGGAATGTTGTGTGTTCACTATGGCTGAGGCCGGGAGGGCTGGTGTGGAATGTTGTTTTGTGCTCACTATGGCTGAGGCGGGAGGGGTGGTGTGGAATGTTGTGTGTTCACTATGGCTGAGGCCGGGAGGGGTGGTGTGGAATGTTGTGTGTTCACTATGGCTAAGGCCGGGAGGGGTGGTGTGGAATGTTGTGTGTTCACTATGGCTGAGGCCGGAAGGGCTGGTGTGGAATGTTGTTTTGTGCTCACTATGGCTGAGGCTGGGAGGGCTGGTGTGGAATGTTGTTTTGTGCTCACTATGGCTGAGGCGGGAGGGGTGGTGTGGAATGTTGTTTTGTGTTCACTGTGGCTGAGGCCAGGAGGGGGCGTGTGGAAATGGCTGCCTGTGCTCCGTCTGCCTCAGGGAGAGTAGAGGGCACGGCTCTGTGACCTGCCGCAGGTCCCTCCCTGCTCAGGCCTCGGTCTCTGGGAAAGCTTGGCGGAGGCAGATGTCCGCAGGCCTTTCCATCAAACGGAGCGAGAGCAGAGGAGAAGCCCTGGAAGCCTCCCCCGTGGTGAGGACAGCGAGGTCCCTGGCAAATCAGGCCGTTAATGGGACGCCACCCTCACCCACAGCGAGGGTCCAGCACCGCCGGCTGTTCCTGCCCAGGGTGACCAAGAAGAAGGGGTGTTGAGCAGGGCAGGCCCAGCCCCAGGACCACCCAGGACCTGCCCGCCCAGGCCGGTCGCAGGGCTTCCCTGCCCCTCCCAGCTCCCTCTCCTGTGGCCTGCGGGCAGCTCCAGGCCCTTCCCGCAGAGATCCCTCCAGGCAGGGCCAGGGCCTGTTCCAGACGGAAAGGGGATGAAGGAGAGAGCTTGACAGATGAGCCTCTGTATGTGTCACACGTCTCCCGCACCCAAAAATATCGAGAAGCGAGAGAAAAGCCTTGACTCTTGATTGAGGGCTTGAGTGAGGCCAGAGAGGCCAGCCCAGAGCAGAGAGGCTGCGGGCCAAGAAGAGGGTGGACAGGGTGTGGAAAGGTAGGGAGTGGGAGGGGAAGGGAGGGGACAGTGAGAGGCACAGTGAGGGGCGACGCTGGCACTGGTGGCGGTGCGAGTGGCGGGCGCGCCCTCGGGCCTGCTGGGCCTACCTCGCACCGACATCCTCTTGGGGAGGACGGTGACAGCGCCCTCGGCCACCTCCTCCAGGTGCAGCACGGGTGCGATCTTGGAGCCCCAGCTGTCCGAGCCCATCCAGAAGAAGTGGCCTGTCTGGTTGGCCTTCCGCGCCGCCTGCAGCACACGCCTGTGGGAACACACACCAGCCCGGCCCAGCCATGTCTGTCCATGCTGTCCCCACCTGGCCACTGGCTGACACCCCCTCACCCCCAGGCACACACCTGTCCCCCTCACAGCCCATGGTGTCCCCCAGGCTATGCCTGGATCCCCTGCCCCCCTCCACCACTGACCCACATGAGCCCAGGGCCCACAGCTGCCCCAGCACCCATGCTTGTCCCCCTACCAGTGGTCGGCAAACTGTGGCTCGTGAGCCACATGCGGCTCTTTGGCTCCTTCAGTGTGGCTCTTCCACAAAATACCACATGTGGGCGCGCATGTATTATGAATCGTAATATAAATATCTGATATGCAGGATGTATTTAGGCAACCCTTGTGAAAGGGTCATTCGACCCCCAAAGGGGTCGCGACCCACAGGTTGAGAACCGCTGCCCTAGACCATAGTTCCCTCTGCCACTGGCCCACACCTGCCCACAGGTACCCCTCTCACCCATGTACCCCTAGACCTGGCCTATCCCCTAGGCCACGCCTGCCTACAGGCCCCATGTGCTCCCCCAGTCCCACTCCTGTCCCCTAGGGCTAACCTGTCCCTGCAAAGTCCAGGCCTGTTTCCCTAGGCATGTACCTGCCCCGTGTCTGACCCAGGCTCCCAGACCTACATCTGCCCAACCCCTGTCCTCTCAAGCCACCCTTACCCTAAACCCACACCCACATCTCTTGACCGCTTCTCACACTTACATGCACACACATGCACACACATGCACACAGGCATGCACACGCATGCACACATACACCCCTCTGCACCTGCTGCTCCCCTGCCAGCAGTGCCCCGTCACCCCCTCCTTCTGTGCCAGAGTCCAGGTCGCCACCCTTACCCTAAACCCACACCCACATCTCTTGACGGCTTCTCACACTTACATGCAAACACATGCACACACATGCACACACGTGCACACATACACCCCTCTGCACCTGCTACTCCCCTGCCAGCAGTGCCCCGTCACCCCCCTCCTTCTGTGCCAGAGTCCATGTTCTGCACAGAGCTGCTCCCCGCCCCCAGGCTGTGCTTGTCCCCTGCCCTGGCAGTGGTTTTAATCAAGTCAGGGACCCTGAACCCAGCACAGGGCCGAGACCCCACAGGCTTAACAGATGCAGACTAAGTGGCCCCTCAAACACATGTTCAAGGAGAAGAACAGGGAGGCCGGGAGGAATCCCCCAACCAGCTCCTTCCACTGGAGCTCAGAGGGGGCAAGCAACTTGTTCAAGACCACACAGCAAGTCGGAGGCCAGGACCCAGCTCCAGGCTTGGGGTGCTGCTGGGCCTGTACAGAGGCCACCTACTGGGAAGGACAGCTGGGGAGAAAGCTGTCTCCAGGCCCTAGAGCCCACACCTTCCCTCCTCCCATCTCCTGACTCTGGACATTTGCAGACCCCCAAGCCTGCTGCTGCGCCTCAGGTTATTAATACCCGCTTGCATCCTGCCAGCCAGAAATGACCGAGCCTCCAGCCCTGCAAAGTCACCTGGTTTATTTTTACTTCTGTTTGCTTCTAGAAATGCATGTGGATTTCCAGAAATGCCCCCACCTCCCACCACACTTCCCCTCCCCCAGGGGCCTCTTCCCTGGGATACATGGCTCAGCGCCCTCACCCGCCCTCCCAGCGCAGGGCCCATCTGAGCTGAGCAGGAGGCCGGAGGGGCCCTGTCTGGGTGGGCATGAGCCCTGACTGGTGCTGGGCTGTGGGCTGGGAGTGGGAGGCAGGAGTGCAGGGACTGTGACTGAAGCGAGGACAAGGAGCTCAGAAGGGGTCCCCTCCCGTCCCCCGCACCCCCTGTCCCTGCCCCCAGACTGGCTGACCCGAGGGCAGCAGGAACCACCAGAGCCAGAAGTAAGGCGCCTACAAGCTTTGAGGGGCCGTGAGCAACCTCTGTGCTCACTCAGAGGCATCAGGTGGACTCTGAGGACACCCCTGGCCCTTCACCGCCAGGGTTGCCTCCCTTCGAGATGGCCCTTGGGTTCTGAGGCCTGACTGATGTTCCAGAACTTAGGGACCCAGCAATGTCTACTGGGGAAATCTGCTTCCTGTCACTCAGGAGTCCAGGGCGGGCTCTTCACCACGTGGGGAAAGTATGGGAAAGAATGGGGCCCAGAGAGGACGCTGGTTTGCAATGGGGAGGGAGGCAGCTCAGCCAGCTCCCTAAGGGCAGGGCCTGGGGAGGCCAGGGCTGCTGCCCCACCCTACTCTGCAAATGCAGGGGTGTGCCTCCCCCCCAGACTCTGAGCAGGGGCTGTGGCCTCCCTCTGACTGGGGTTCCCCGAGGGCAGGGCTGTGTCTCCCCCTCAGACCAGGGAATCACAGAGGCCTGGCCCATCTTGGCCCTGAGGTCCAGTCTCCGAGAGGTGGGAACAGGAAAAAGGCAGGAAGGAGGGAAAGAGGTTAGGAACCCTTCAGTCCGCAGGCTGATGCTCTATCCACTGAGCCAAACCAGTCAGGACCAGGGGTTATCTTTTAAAGGCACCGAGTTTTGGACCTATGCCTCGGGCACCGCCGGGGGCAGGTGTGCAAGCTGTGGGCTGGCCCAGGGTTGCTGCACGCATGGTCCTGGCACCTGGAGTCCACCTGCTCCCATTCTCCAGATGCAAAAACTGAGGCCCAGGAGGGGACAATGCTGCCCACAGTGAGTGTGTCCCCAAGCCAGGACTAGAACCACAGGCCAGGCCTTTCCCCACCACCCTGAGCTTACCAAGAAAGGAGGGGGGGACTGAGAAGTGGCCACCATGCATTAGGCACCTACTGCGTGCCAGCCACTCTAAGCCGTTGACGCCGTTCCAGCACGCAGTTTTCAAACACCACCAGCAGGCATCCTTAGCCCAGAGAGGTTGAAAAACTTGCCTGGGCCACAGAGCCAGCAGGAGCGAGAGCAGGATTAGCGGGTAGGTGCTCTGGCCCTAACCCAGGGCCGTAGCCCCTCCATTACAGTACCTGCTTCCCAGCCCTGGCTGGTAGAAGGGATGCAGGACACAGGGAGGGGGGAGAACAGGGGCGCCCACTAGCACCAGCCTGTGGCCCTGACTGAGGGGTGTCCCAGCACTCACTCACCCACCCGACCCCTCTGGATCCCTCTCTGGGGTCAGACTTGTGCAGGAAGGTCACCAGCAGGGATCCCTGGCTCCCCACCCCTGCCCCGCTGCCCCCCTCACCTGATGTCATCCTCATTGGCAAAGATGATGATCCCCCTGGCGTTCGAGGTCTCCAGCAGGCGCCGGATGATCTTGTCAAACTCCCCCGGCTTGGGCTCCCGCGGTATCTTCACCGACTGGGCGATGCACACGCCCCCTGCGGGAAGGGGGCCGGTCAGCCTGGGCGGACAGGAGAGCTGAGTCTCTCTTCCCCTTTCCCCCCAACTCATACTCCCCGCCCGCCCCCCCCAGGAGAACAAGGCTGGGAGCGCCCAAGTTCCAATACTCACCCACTGGGTGACCCTGGACATGTCACCTAAGTTCTCTGTGCCTCAGTTTCCCCATTATAAAGTCGGCAAGAGGCAATACAGCATTGTGTTTAGGAGCTAGTCTGCCTGGGCTCAAATCTGGGCTCTGCTACTTACTACTGTGTGACCTGAGGGCGGTTACTGAACCTCTCTGTGCCTCCAATACAACGTCTGTAAAGTGAAGATAATAACACCACTGCTTCATAGGGTTGTTGTAAAGCTGAGTTAATGCATGGAAATAAAATAATATCTGGTACAGGGTAAGTGCTGAGTAAACGCTGACCATCTTCATTGTAACCACATCGTAAGGATCTTAGGAGTGAATCTGAGCATGAGAGCAAAGCGCCCACCGTGGGCCCTCAGTGCCCCCCACGCCCACACCCACACCCACCTCCCAGGCCTCTGTCCCAGGCCCGTGCTCACCAGCAGGCCCCTCAGAAAGCAGTGGGCAAGGCTGCTGGCTGGTGCCGCACACCTGGGCAGCGCTGCTGCAACCCAGCTCCCTTATCCTCCAGGCTCCAGGCTCCAGGCTCCTTTCTGAGCACTCACAGGCCCTGCACTGTGTAGGCCCTCGGGCTCCAACTCTGGCCTGGCTGGTGCCTTGACACCACAGCCTCCCTCCCGCTCCCCTCTTTCCTCCCCTCAACCCTTTTCCCACCCCCACCCCCCACCCCCACCTCTTATTTTTGTTCAG